CATTTAGTCATTTGCTCCATGCCATTGGCGAGTATCCATTGTGCCAACAGACAGTATTCATTAACTGCATGAAATAATAAAAGCAACTTATATTTAATGCTTTTCATCTGTAGATCCCAAGTGTATAAAGTATCATTATCTACAAATGAGAAAAAAAATGAAGCGCAGGATGGACAGACAGCTTGTTTGACTTTGCCAACACTCCAGTGATAGAATCCAGGTCTTCTGAGCTCCAGCCCAGTTCTGTTTCTATAAAACTAACTGGTTTTTAAAACCTCAAAGACAAATATGAATGGACATTCACATAACTGAAAACAAAAGGCACCACCAGTGACATTAATTGGTATTCTTGATGGAAGATTTAGCAAAGATGCCAAAGACAGCAGTGAGCATGGAGACTGAACTAGACTCTTCACCCCTGCTACTTGTCACTCTACAGCCACTTCTGGGTCAGGGTTACAATATAACCTAGATAAACATTTTCTGCTGCTTCTAATATTACAGGGTTAGGAAATAAACCAGCAGATATAATTTATTTAAAACAGGGAAAGCGATACCACTCTACTCAAACCAGGCAGAGTATTAGCACTTACCTTTGAAAAGTGGACAAATTTTCCATACGGTAGCAGCCCCTTCCCGGTTGTACTGGCCCAGTGCTAATTCCATATAGAACAAGGGCATTCCAGCAATGATTAGGAAAAGGATGTAAGGGATAAGGAAGGCACCTGAAAACAGAATTAACAAGAAGCAGAAATCTAGATTTTTGTTACATTCTGCTTTTCTTCTCTTCTGCTCCTTTTACTTTTGTACTAACAAAGCAAACTGCCTCTGAAAATTATGAAGAAACTTCAAGAAACATAAGGAAATTTCTCATTTCACTAAGTCCCAAATGCAGGTTCCCTGAACAAAAATACATAGCATAGCACCTATTTTCCCTTAACGTTACCAAACTCTGGTAGTCTGGTTTCAAGGAATAAAAACCAGCCCTGGAAACTTAAATCTTTAATTGGACAGGAAACTTAGATGTGATGCAGAACAGACTTGCAAAGCTAAAGGGGAAGGAAAAACTGTCACTCTTAGTGACAGTTTGGGAATGAATAGAGTTTAGTCTGCTTTATAATGCAGATTGTTCTTCCACTTTAGAGGACAGTAACAGGGAAACTGGTAATTTATAAAGGATGCTTTGAGCATAGTTGTGGGATACCATATAGTTTCACTGACTGGAGGAGCTGTCTTGCTTGAAAACAAGCAACTACACAGTGGAAATCTTGGTGACTAATATTATTCGGGAAACTGGGATTAAGTTATTATGCTTATTGATATAAGAAAGGTCCTAGTTTTTAGGATGTGGTTCCACTTCTGTGAGCAAGGCTGATTGGCATTGTTTGTTCATGTTGCTATGTGGCAGGGGTGGGCAAAATGTGGCCCGGGGCCCAGATGCGGCCTGCCAGGCCAATCTATCTGGCCTGTGGGGCCCCTAAAAAATTTAGAAAATTAATATTATTCTGCCCTGGGCTGCCTGTCATGCAGCCCTCGATGGCTTGCCGAAACTCAGTAAGCGGCCCTCTGCCCAAAATAATTGCCTGCCCCTGCTATATGGAATGTGCCACTATCGTACTGTTTATTTTGTAAGCAAAAATATTACTGCATTGCATTGCAACATGGCAGTCCAGAAGATAGGGGTAGTTTGTCATGTTAGTCTGAAGTCAGGTGGAAGGCAGGGTATAGATGCACCTTACTGACTAACTGCATCAGAGAAGCATATGTTTTTGTTAGAAGGAATTCAGTTCTTCAGCTACTATGAAAGGATATAAAGGATAGATCCTGATTAGGAATGCCTGCATGTACACACCACATGTGACACACGTGCAGGTGTTCCCTGAGCTACAAATTAACAGCATGGGGGTTTTTTGACACTGGGGAATCCTGGTGTCAAAAAACCCTGCACTTAAAAAAAGCAGGGTGGCGCATATGACAGCAGCATGCGCTGCCCAAACCAGAGCCTGATTGGCCAGAGCTATGTTCCAGCTGCTGGCCAAGCTGCAGCCTCCAGAGGTGCCCAGGACCCCAGGCAGGGCTGCTGAAGACAGCCCAAGTGCCGGCTCCTGCCTCTCCTACCCCACAGCTGTGTGCTGCTGCCATTTGTTCCCAGGGTAACACATGAGCACGCTTGTCTGGATGCACCCATACAGAACAGGCAATCAGATAGAGGGTGATTTAAATACAAATGACAGAGAAGGGAGGGGGACAGTGATGAGAGAGGCAAGCAAGTAATAAATGCATAGGGGCAAAGACACACATGTAATGTCCATGAAGGTTAAAATATTCTGCCACAGGCTTTTGTGTGTTTTCGGACTTTATGTCAGATTGGTGTCCCCTGATTCTTACACATAGGTATTGACCTGTCTGTCCAATTTAGATAGCAGAGGGGTCCTATGAGCAGGTGATGGCATATGATGTCAGAAAGGGTGCAAGTGAATGAATTTTGGATGTTATAATCAATATTATTTGTTCCAAAGGTGATATGGATTCTATTACTGACCTCAACGTAGCTGTTTTTAAATGGCAAAACTTTAAAAAATAAATTGAATACAAAATTGCAGAACAATAAATCATCCAAGGGCTGGATTCTGTTAAATGTAGTCTAAAAAGGGACTACAGAATTTTATCCCATTATGTGGATTAGCTTCTTGATCCCTTTGTCCCTATGGATTTATTACTTCTCTTCCTCTCTCAGTATTGCCCACACCTCCTCTCCCCCACCTCCTTCCCTTCCATCTTTTGTATTCAAATCACCCTCTTTATTTGATAGCCTGATCTATGCATGTCTTTTCATAACATCTGAGGAAGAGAACTCTTGTTCATGAAAGTTTATGCATTTCTGATTCAGTTAGTCTATAAAGGGCACCTCTACCCTGTCTTCTGCTGGTCCAAATGTGCTTCTTGTTGCATCTTTATGGAGTGCCTACCCTTACTTGACTTAGGACTCTCAGCCACAAATTCACATAGAGAGCCTTAATTAATAGCAAATACAACTATGTCAGGGTCTTTATAATAAGAACTGTCTACACATATGTTAAGTTTTGTTTGTCAATACAAATGGATAACTTCACCTGAAAATTTCATAGCTATATCATACCATGATATCCAAACCCACAGACATTCAAGATTCCCAAATGATTGCAAAGCATCATGTGATACTATAAAGCAAATACAGCATGTATCATGTTTAATAAAACAGTCTGTCAGTATTGACCATTCACTGTATGAACTATGGTTCTGATTTCATCGCATAGATTATTAGATCTATAACAGCTTAATTCTTGCAAAATTTGTAAAAATAAAAAACAGCTGGATTGTTGATAACAGTAACTGATACAGCAAATACGATTGACTTTTCTCTAGGACCACATCACAAAGTGAGAATAGACTGTGAAAGTTACATTTATAGGCCACATCCACATGAGCATGGATGTTTGGTTCCCTGGGGACAACTAGCACCTTATACCACTGCTAGTTGTCCCCAGGCATGCCTGGGCCATGTGCCCTCTGGCATGCAGCAGGTTACCCTGTGTTGGGTAGGGGAAGCTGCGGGCCAGCACTGGGCTCACTCCAGCTGCCTTACCTGGGGTTCTGGGAACCTTCTGTGGCTGCAGAAGTGGAGATCAGCCAGGCTCTGGTTTTGAGCAGCACATGCTCAAATGTACACCACTTCACTCTTTTTTTGTGTGTGGGATATCTAGGGGTCAGCCCTCTCCCCTGCCCTGCACTACTCCTTTGCAGCATGGAGAATAGCTTATTGTGCACTATGTGGCATTGCAGATGTGTCTGTACTGCCACATACCTCATAGCTACACTTGTCTGAATGTCACCGTAGGGTTCTTAGGCTCTGCACCAAAAAGCCCCTATGTAGAACTATTAGGAAGATATGAGTTCTATGAATTAGCCTCTACTCTGCTGTTTTGTGCATTTTAACTCTTTTCTCTTGCAAGAAGAAATATTGTCACTCTGTTCAAAAATGAGTTTAAAAATACAAAATATATCTATATTCAGTCTATTCCTATAATGCATATCTAAGTACTAGATCCATTGTTCCATACACACTAGGTAAGTACAATTTAACAAACACTTAAAAAGAACTTCTGCAAATATTCTCTCAGAGTTTGAAAAGTTTGCATGGTTCTGTTCTTCTCCTATCTTGTGTATGTGTTTTCCATAAACATTTTTAAAACATGAGTTGAATTTTAGGCATATTCAAAGCATGAAATTCAAGTAGGTATTCAATAACAAGAATGAAAAAGCAAACTTGAATGTCTTAGCCTCATCAGAAACATAAGCAAAGAAAGACACCAACAATACGTTCTACATCTAATGAAGATAATGGTATTTGAAAGCTGATATTTTGCTATAAATGAGATGGAGACCAGGGTTTGCAAAAACAAATCATAAACATAAGAGCTTTAAAAGAGATGTGAATACACTGAATATAGTATATATTTGGGGCCAGGGATCTCCACCTATATTCTGTTTATATAGTGCTTACCACAAATGCAGTCTTAATTAATGCCTGAGGTCCTAGGCACTACTTCAACACAAATTATTGTATGCAAAGAACTGATGGGCAGGATCCCCTGGGAGCTAGTCTGAGGGAGAAAAGAGTCCAGAGGAGCTGGTTGTATTTTAAAGAAACCTTACTGATGGTACAGGAATGAACCATCCTGACACACAGGAAGACTAGCAAGTATGATAGAAGACCAGCTTGGCTTGGCAGGGAACTCTTCAGTGATGTAAAACAGTGGTTCTCAATTTTTTTGTACAAGGGCACATTTATAAACATTGATGGCCAGTCCCAACCCGGTGCCTCTCACTCCCGACCCACTGCCCCCACCCCCTGCCATGTGTGGGGCAGGGGGTAGGTGTGTGAAGTAGGGGGGAGTGTATGTGAGGGAAGGGGGAACCCAAGCAGCCCCTTGCAGGCTGGAACTCTGACAGTCTGCAAGGGGAAAGCCACAGGTTTCCCACATTTTTCTCCTTTAAAAGAGAATCAATTTTTAAAGTTTGTCTGGGACCCTTTCATATATTCTTGTTGTGACCCACTTTTAGGTCGTGACCCATGGGTTGAGAAACACTTACCTAAAACACAAAAAGGAAGCTTACAAGAAGTAGAAACTTGGAAAAATGACTAGGGAGAAGTATAAGAGTGTTGCTTGGGCACGCAGGGATGAAATCAGGAAGGCCAATGTGCAATTGGACTTGCAGCTAGCAAAGGAGGTGAAAAGTAACAAGAAGGGTTCCTACAAGTATGTCAACAACAAGAGGAAGATCAGGGAAATTTTGGGTCCCTTACTAAATGGGGGAGAGAACCTAGTGACAGGTGATGTGGAAAAGGCTAAAGTACTCAATGCCTTTTTTACCTCAATCTTCACAGGCAAGGTCAACTCCTGGACTACTGCACCTGGCAACAGTTTGGGAAGGAGGCAAGCACCCAACAGTGATAAAAGAACAGATTAGGGACTGTTTGGAAAAGCTGGATGTGTAAAAATCCATGGGGCTGGACACAATGCACCCAAGGGTGCTGAGGGAGTTGGCTGGTGTGATTGCAGAGCCCCTGACCATTATCTGTGAAAACTCATGGTGATCAAGGGAGATCCTAGATGATTGGAAAAGGGCAAATATAGTGCCCATGTGTAAGAAAGGAATTTAGGAGGATCTGGGGAACTACAGA